CTTAGTAACCAAAGTTTTAAAGTTACACTTAAATGCAGAAAGGTATTAATCTTGCAAAGGCTTAATCAATTTGAAAGTGTGTCAGACTCAAGAGTTGTGTTCCTTGTGCCCTCCTTACTGTAGAGCCTAATTGTTGGAAAACCAGTGTTATTTTTTCCCATAAATACTTTAAAGTTACATTAGTAGCATCACAGCTGAAGTAGTAACTAAGAAATGAATGGTTCTGAGAAATAGAGAAAAAGGTGAGAAAAGATGCTTCCAAGATCAGAACAACTAAGGCAGAATTCAGATGTAATCTTTCAGTGTTGGTTTTTGTGGTTGGTGGTTTTTTTTTCTTCCCCCTGAACAATAACGTTTCCTCCTGTTATTTTATTTTTTTTTTCTCTGTTCTATTACAGGGAGGCTTGCTTTTTGGCATTGATCTCTTAAAGTGAAGGACATTCAAAGGAAAAAGCCCAACCTAGTAAACGTATGAGAAATCTGCTTGGATTGTTAGACTGATCCTAACTCATGCCCTGTGTTTATGTTTATGTTGATCACGGCTTAATTTATTAATATGGGAATGGGTCCATATTTATCTTCTACTACTATGAAAAGCTACTTTTAAAAAAACCTGCTGTATATCACAGTCAATACCTGTTTGGTGTGGGCTTCTTTTTCCCCCCCATAAAACTGGTCACCCGTGCAGTATTAAATCAATTGACCATTAGTCTATGGAGAGGAACTGAGAAAAGACCACAGTTACATGTATTATTGATCTTTTTGTGTCCAAGATGAAAACTTTTCTTGTAACCAACTTCTAAAGCTTGTATTTTCTAACAAGTGTTCATTTTTAAATGGATTTTGGGTTTTGTTCTATGTTGGTTTGCCTTTGTATATGTATTTCATTAGACATGAGTGTGACTTAATTGTTTGTGTGGATAAAAATGACAGCATGTGTGCATGTTGGGAGGGGAGCCGTATTTACATTTTCTTTAAAAGCTTTTGGTGTTTGTTTGAGAAATAAAGTAAAGGTCAAGGCAGCTAAACTCTATACTGAGGGAAGTTTAGCTTTGTATCCTGCAAACTTTCAGGCTTCATCATTACCACTGTCAGCATTCCTTAGGGAGATGGACTGAAATTTTTAACAGTTCAGAGTAAATGCTCTTTGTTGGTCATGGGAAAAGTTAAAGTAACTTAAAGTATCTTCTGGATATGAATGAATTATCATTCATGTGAGTGTATGATCTGAGTAGATACAAGTGAATCATCTCTAGGAATTTTTTACTGTCAGGTAGGGGCATTGCATAGCTATATTGTGCATTTGGTTTTAATGCTTGTTCAAATGACTATCAAAATCTGTAATCTATGCAAAAGGTACTAATTAAATATGCAGTCTTGGTCACAGTGTGCACTATGCTTGTGGGAGGTGGGAGAATAGGTTGAGGTGTTTTTTTTCTGCTCAGATTGAATGTTTATTATGAAACAAGTCAGTATCAGTTTCCTAGCAGTATGGATTGTTTGAAGTAATGGTCATGAAAGTGAAGAGTTGCAGGAAGAAAACTTTTAGAAAGATGCATGAAAATGTTCAGCTGGCAATGGTTTATTTGAGCATGGCATAAACATAAATCTAATATCCGGTAATGATTATGTTTCAGAAACATGCTTGTAACTCATTTAAAGAAAGAAAACCTATTTTTTTCTGGAATAGACAAACTAAGAATTTAGGAAGCCGTCGTTGGAAAATCCTTCCTCCTTTCCTTTAAATTAAATTTCTCTTTAGAGCATATCGGATATCTTTTCACTGGTGTGGATCTTGGAGTGGATCCACTGGTGTGGCTCTTGGGAGAGTTGGAGAAAATTAAATTTAGTTTCAGTAAAAATGGCTTTCAGTAATATTGGTTGGAGCAGAAGAGCCAGAATGAATAAACAATTCAATGCCAGGGCAGGGGTTATGGGGCACTGATGGGTAAGCTATGCTCTGCTCATGTCTCATCTGTTAAGGTGGCGAGAAATGCAGCTCACCTGTGCCCTGTGAAATAGCGTGTGTGTTATCTTCTGCTGTTGTGCTTGCTTCTGCGTTCAATGTACCAACTAGAAATAGTGTGTGTATGTGCAATATTACCTTGTGTGATTGCATTTTCTTTTTGGCAGTCAAAACTGGTCAAGTAGTTACCATGCTAATCGTCTTACCTCATACCTATGTATGTAGCGAGCTGTTCGAGTTCAGAGTGGATGTTTTTGTATATATTCATACAATTTTTTTTAAGCTAGCTTTCTTTACGGGGAAGGGGCAGGGGAAAGTTGTAAATAATTTTATGAATTACTTCTTTTGAGAAGTGAACATATCCAGTGCTTGCCCATGCAGTATCAGAATTGAAGTGTTCTTGGTCTGACTCTTCTTGGCCTGAGCAAAGAGAGATTTTTGAGGAGCTGGAGCCTCCTGTCATCCCACATGAGGGTTGCCTCTGAACTGCCACAGAAGTCAGCAGCAGGGCAATTGATTACTGCCATTTCTTCAACAAGCCCCACCTTACCAACTGCATGCCCTTGTGCCATGGATGCCAAGAGCAGGTTTAGCAACTTTTCATCACAGATTCCCTATTCCTCCCCAGGAGACTGCAAGTATCTTTTAAACTTCCCTGTCTTCACCCCTACCCCTCTCTCCTCAGGCCACTTGCAGGTCTTTATCCGCTGCAGGCCAGATCTGAACCACCTTCTTTCTCTCTTCAGTGGTGGCTCCTTCTTGAAGTGAGTAGAACCCATAGCTTTCAGTTGAGGCAGGAAGGAGAGCTAAGGATGGCATGCTTTAAATTTGCTTGCTGAGATGAGGAGGTACTTTCATTTTCTAGAAAAAGAACTCTCAACATCTTGTGGATGAACCATGCAGTCATCAGCTGCAGCCAAAAAGATGTCAAAAATGTCCTGATGAAGCATAACGGCAAGAGAGAGCAGGGCATTGCTGGAAGAGAGGATTATACCAAACATACACAGTCTGAGAATATCTAGCACTTACTTGAGACAATAGTCCTAGGAAAGAGAAGGATGCAAATGCATAATCAAAGATACAGCTGACATTTGTATTGTACGGAAGGCTGATAGCAGTTGCTGTCTTATGTTTTTCTGACTATGTGTGCAACCTGAAAATGTGTTTCTGTGATCTTCTCTAGTAGGCTGTTCTACAGTATGCAGTAGGCCTTTTGTATTTGGATGAGAGAATATGCACCGTTAGAGCAGGGAAGTACCTTTTTTGGTGTGAAACTTAGCTTTTGTCAAGGTGCAGATTTGAATTTTTTGTTATTTCCTGTTTCTCTTTAATTTTTCAGGAAGCGTTGGCTGCATGTCAAAATATTAAATATAAAGGCTGTAACGTTAGGTTGTTGTCAATTTACGTCAGCAGTGACAACACGGAAGTGTTGATGGTTGCCCTGCTATTCCTTATCTCAACTTACTCAGCAGAGAAATCCAGTTTAGCTCCTCTTGTTTTGTCTCATGTATTACCTGGAAGGGTGAAATAAAGTAGGCTTCCCCATAGTGGGTAAGTTAAGAGGAGGAAAGAGAACAAGTTGTCTGGGTTTCATCTTACCCTTCTCACCTAACAATTTATTTCCACTCTGTTTTTATTGTTGTAGTCTAACTAGTTACTCTTTTTAGCTGTCCATATGCATAATACGGTTGTTGCAACTGTCTGTAACTTCTTTTTCACCTTTCTGATTCCTGACAGTAGGGCAATGCATATGAATTGTGAGATTGTTGTACTTGTAGTTGCTTGTGCGTGCTGAACTCAGTTGTATTCCTCAATTTTATCTGCCCTCCTCGCTCCTTTTTTCAGGATGTCTCTGGGTCTTCCCATTCCTTGTTCCCTTTTTACACAAAATGTAAGACTGTTGTCATTTTTGTGTCATAGGTTAAAAAAAAAAAAAAAAAGAATTCCAAGTATCTAAATCCTATTAGATTTGAATTGGGTGTTGAGTTTTAAATCTTACTGATGTTTAAATATTTTGAACCTTTGAACAACTGGACCTGCACAACTGGTGGCATTGATGCAGGAATGACAGCGATTGGCAGGAGGGAAGGAGAGGATACGTATGTTGTTATTGTACAAGTTGTCAGTGAACGAAATGTTCATGAACTGACTGAAAGATCCCTTTGTAGCACAGAGTGTAAGAGGCCTAGGTGGATGTGTGTGATGGGAGGTGCTTCACATAAACCAAATCTTTTTCTTCAAGTTTGTTGTTACATGTTCCCTTTCTAGCTGCCAGTCAGATCTGGGTTTAGATCTGTAGCAATGTTAAGTACTTGCAAATCTAGCTAGGGCTTTTTGGAGTTGTGCTGTGAGTGAAAACACTCTGAAATTGTGCAAAAAAAGCATGCAGGGTCCTGTTAGTGTCCTGGCCCTGGGAGAGGTTTATGCTGAAATGTAACTGAGCATAGCATATGGGGGTGTTAGAATTTTTTTTTTTTTTTTTGCTGTTTCATACTATGCGAATTGTGATACTATTGAAATGTTACGTATTTCGTTGTATACTAACAGTCTTAAACTTGCTGCCCTTTTAAAAAAACAAACAAACAAAACAACAACCAAAACTCCCCCCAAAACCCCCAAACCAAAGCCCCAAAATCACTGATAAAAGTAAAATTTTTTCAGTGAATGCTCCTGTTGGGCCTCTTTTTCTTAACAGTACAGTCTGTGCCCATACTTGCATGCCCTGCCTGGCTTAACATGATGGTAAAGTGCCCCTGTGACACCAGACATGCAGCGAGAGGAATTACACATCTATTACTGATGATCTGTTTATGTAGAGAAAGTCAAATGCTTTCAAGACTCAGGCTAATTTTGCAGATGTGGCTGAATGGTACCATGTATGAGTTGGTTGATCATGTCACAGGGGAGAAGACAGTGCAGTTTTCAGATGCTTTCAAAAGAGGCTGTGAGGTCTGTTGTTTCAGGAAGAGAGAGTACCACTTTATAGCAAAGAATATTGTAATTTTCCCTGACACTCTCAATTTTGGTTTCTTAGACCGCATCAATGGAGCACATTCAGGGAGCTTGGAAGACTATCAGTAATGGTTTTGGACTCAAGGATTCTGTCTTTGATGGCCCAAACTGTATTTCTCCTACTATCGTCCAGCAATTTGGTTACCAACGCCGAGCATCTGATGATGGCAAAATATCAGATACTTCCAAAACTAGTAACACTATTCGTGTTTTCTTGCCCAACAAGCAGCGCACGGTGGTAAGTCTACATTCATGTAAGAAATGTCATACGGTTCCCATTGCTAACACTGTGACTTGCATCTGGCAAGGGAAATGCCAAGCTTCATAAAATGTCTTACTGTGATTGTGTTGTCATCAGTTTGTTAAGTCTAGAGGATATCTTTTGAAAGCAGTATGTCTGTATTTTGTGAACCTCCATTTCTCTACCTCAGTGCTGTATTTTTCCCATATATGTGAGCAAGATATTTCACTTGCATATTTAACATCAAAAGACAGTAGTTGGCCCTACCCCCAAAAAGCTTAAACAAATTCTGCAATCACTGGCTATTTTTTTTTTCCTTTGGTCACAGGTAAATGTGCGAAATGGGATGACCTTACATGACTGTCTTATGAAGGCACTTAAAGTAAGAGGTCTGCAGCCAGAATGCTGTGCAGTTTTTCGACTTCTTACTGAACCAAAAGGGTAAGAGTCATTAATGTTACATGTGAAACTTTCAACTAGAGAATGTAAAAATCTTGTGTTTAGAATAGCAGTGTTAATGCTTTCTTCCTCTCTTGCTAGTTTCTTTTAAAACCACAGTTTGGTTGTGGACACTTCCCTGTTGCTTTCTTTACCCTCCTCTAGGACAACTCCTTCAGCTTCCTGGGTATTAAAAATTTTCTTTTTGTTTTAAAGCTAACTATTAAAAATGCTCAAAATTGAGGTGTAAGTCCTTGTAACGTCTTACAGAGGCTTTTGTCATGCTCTAGATGAAATGATGTGTATTTGAGATGCATGCCTCCTCTGCATTTGTAGTTGGTAACTTCAGTGCTAGTTATTCTTAGCCAACTTAAATGAACATCTCTTGTGTGCTCAGTTCTAAGGCTCTACATTCCTCTACAACTCTTCAATGTTTGGATTTAAATCTCACTTCAGATATTCCTTATTTTTTGTAGGACCGGGGATGCTGCTATTAAATACCAAATGATTCTTTTACAAGCTGAGGGAGTGAAGGTATCTCATGGAGTTAATACATTTAACTTCACACCTCGTAAAGCTTGGGCGTAATGCTCTTTTAAGCCTCAATCATGAGGCAGTCATCTGTGGGTTTACATCTCTGTGTACTGAGTCCATTCTGGGGCCACCAGTAACTTCAGTGCTGAAGCACATAGTACGGCTTTCATGTCACTAAGTCTGCCATTCATAATTTCTTACCTTTTGTTTATAAGGGTATTTCTGTGATTCCGTTACAGCTTCTAGGTGTCGTATTTCAAATAATCTATATCTCTAAATGGCTTACACATTAAAAAATAAAAAGAGGTGAATTGCTGTGTTTCCAAAGTTGCTTCTAATTTTTTAAGTGAAAGACACTAAAATATAGCTCACTATAAGACATTAGACATGCTTTCATGTATTTGTTTTCAGTTTACTCAAGAAAACTCACAAAACGTAGATCATTGATTAGGCCAGACTTCTTATCTCCTAAGTAGTTTTATTGTCCCCATTTTCTTTCAGAAAAAAAGTGCGTTTGGATTGGAATACAGATGCTGCCTCCTTGATTGGAGAGGAACTGCAAGTGGACTTTCTTGATCATGTTCCACTCACTACACACAATTTTGTAAGCTTTTTCTCTTCTGTATTTTGATGTAAATTGTACCAATTGAACTACATATTCAGTCAAAGAATGTTTTAGGCATTAGGTACCTTTTGGCTTCTTAAACATGGGGGGGATTTCAGAAATGATGATTTGATTCATTTACCCATACTCCCCATAAATTAGATTGGCTAAATATCAATTTGCAATGAAATGCCAGAGTTCTACTTATGTTTAGTGATTCCTAGGTGTCAGAGACTTTAAAAGCTCACATTATGCATATTCTTCAAAGGTCTGATGATTGCCATTTTTATTTTAAATAAGTATATATTTCTGTAACTGTCATATTAAGATATGTCTTTAAAGTCCAGAACTGGGAGGTAATTTGCATTTTCAGTCTCTGGCTCACCAGTCAAAAAAGGCTGGATAAGTTCTGCTGCTTTTTTGGCCTGTTGGTAGTTGTACTTGAATGTGCAAGGGTGCTGTTAATTCTGCAAGGTCATGACGTTTTGTGAGCGAATGCTGCCTTGTAATCTGACAGAGTGTTTTTTGGGGGGATGAAAGACTTCAGAGTTGTAGTTCCTTCTCAAAAAGGGATTATTTGCTCAGTGCAGAGCAAATAAATAGAGCTTGCTCTTTTTTTTTTTTTTTTTCTTTTTTTTTTTTAAACAAAGAGATAACACCTAACTCTTAACAGTTTTACCTTGCATTATTTTGTTATCCCTGGGAAGGAACTTTTTGCTTATATTCTAGCCTTTTTGTTATTTTATCCCAGAAATATTTTGTATTAAGTGGCAGAACTAAAGGATTATAATTTACATCCATTGGAAAGGTTAGGATTGGCTTACAAAAACTGAAAGTAGCTTTGCTTCTACTTTACATTTTTAGAAAACTACAAATAAAATAATCTGCAGTTGGTCATCAGAAAACTAATATTTTTCTTCAGATCTGGAAGAAGCTTAAACTCTGAGCCTTCCTCTACAGTATACTTCGGAGGAAGAAACCCCTTGGCTCATTTTAATCTTTTTTTGTATTTCAGAAGCTTTAAAAAAAAAAAGTTAGATGCCACTTTTAAAAGTAGAATTTCCTTGAACTATTTTATTCACTAAGGGATTTATTTCTTATACAAGGGGTATTGGTTAGTCATAAAGAAACAATAAACATTTTGACTAATAAAAAAATGAGGTGGTTTTATGATGTAATCCTCCGTCACCTCCTAAAAACAAAACCCCCAACTCTTGGCCCATCCAACTCTGTCATCTTACTGAGCACAACATAGTGCTTTTGAATTTGACAGAACACTTCGGTTTGGTTTTTTTTGTTTGTGGGGGTTTTGTTTGTTGTTTTTTAATTAATCGGGTAAACAAAGCCCTAAATGTAAGCTTTCCAAGCTTCCAACCAAACTGGAAATATATGCAAGAAAACTTAAGTGTCGTTTTAAGTTCAGTAGCACTTTGGGGGCATTGATAACATTTTAACATTGTATTTATTTATGCCAGACTCCAAAGATGTTCATCTCAGCTAATGAAGAGAAGCTAGTGGTTTTGATTAATCATTTAATGTGTTTTCTAGGCTCGGAAGACATTTCTAAAGCTTGCTTTCTGTGACATCTGCCAGAAGTTCCTGCTAAATGGGTTTCGGTGTCAGACATGTGGTTATAAATTCCACGAACACTGCAGCACTAAAGTTCCAACCATGTGTGTCGACTGGAGCAATATCAGGCAACTCTTGTAAGGACTGTTCCTTTTTAATAACAACAGTAATTCTCTGTGACAGAGAAGCATCTTTTTTTTTAATCTTGTGTCATAAAGATAAAATTTGGATTGTTGGGAACTGTTGTCACTTTCATCAGCATACAGAACTTGTGTTGATTTCATAAAACAGCCAGCAATGATTGTCTGTTCCCAGGTGAAGAAGGCCATTTACATTAAATGCATTTTGTTCTTGCTGTAAATTTTAATGTTTTGGGACAAGCAAATAAAGATCTTGAATGACCAGGGAGTTGGTATAATGCCCTATGTTTCAACAGAGTAATAGTAATTCCTCTCATATAACACTTCAGTTAGAAGAAAAAAAGGTCATGATTCAGTTGGTTTTTAGCTGTTGGAAGCATGAGTGTTCAGAACAACCGCAACTTTTTATACCCTGTTGAAAATGCGTGGAATGGTGAGAAAACTGATGAAGGATCATACTTTCCTAATATTGATTAGAGAAAGTTGGAAATCATTACATTAGAAGAAGTCTTTTTATGCAGAAGTGTTAAAACCTATAATTGATTTTATGTGTCTTACTTGGTGATTGTGGTTTTTTATAATTAAACTTGGTCATATGCATTTTCTTATACTGACTAGTCATTAGAGTGTAGGATGACTTGTGCCACTTGGTGCTACCTGGGTTTAATAGAACTTAAAAAAATTGGTGTCAAAGAGCCTTTCAGGAAAATCTGAAGTCTGATGTAGAAAGATTTATATCTTAAATTTAGAAAGAACACATCAAAATTTTCTTTGGGAGTCTGAAAGACATAGTTTTTACTCGTACCATACACAGAGGAAAAATATTATGTAAAGACAGGAATGTGTTCATGAAGTTTAACTATGCTGGAAAGAAACAGCCCTTTACATTTTCAGATTTAAAGAGCATTGTACAGGAGGTAGTGTAGCAATTGAATTTGTAATTGTTTTTGTTGATATTTCAGATTGTTCCCAAATTCAAATATCAGTGACAGTGGTGTCCCTGCACTACCTCCCTTGACAATGAGACGGATGCGGGAGTCTGTCTCCCGGATACCTGTTAGGTAAGCTAGTATTTCCTGTCATTTCTGTTTGGGGAAATACAGTTGTTCAAAACCAAAATACTCAAACACCCCCAACTCCTCAAAAATAGAACAGTCTTATAGAACGTTGGAATAAATGTGCAAGAAGGCAACACCACTTCATCATAGATAATATGTAGCATCCTTTCTTGTTCTTAGATTCAAGCAAAACATTCATTTGGGATTTTATATTTTTGATTTTTAGTCTTAAGATTTTAAGGGAGGGTCTTAAAGGTTTTCTTGGAGACCTTTGTTTTCCTGCCTAAGAAAATTCAAGGCTCCCTTTAGTATTTTTGTAAATTAATTTTATTTTCTCTGATTAGGTAGTGTACACGTAAAGGTTTGTGGCTCGTTTTGCATGACTCGCGTATGTAAAATAAAATAATGATCTAATATTATGATGACAGATAAGAGTTTAAAGAGAGAACAGTGGAAACTGAAAATATATTCCTCTTAAAGAAAATTCTGAGACCTAAAGAGAACATTCCTATAGTTTTAAAAGCTAGAATAAAAATTGCTTTCCTTTCAATGGGGCCTATCTTCTGATCCTAATTTGTGCCTGTATTCCTTTCCTTGAAATTCTAGAGGCTGAAGAAAGAGGGCAGGCCATCTTTTGTTTTTTTCTACATCCCTTTGAAAAATCTTGGCCTATTCAGGAATGAGGCACAGAGCATGTAGCTGTCTCCCAAATGGTTCTATGTATTTATTTATTTATTTATTTTAGTGGGAACTGCATCAGGAATTGATCTTACATTCTCTTTGCCATATTATTTTATTTCCAGTGTTGTTGAACAATGACTCATTAACTTGATAGTTTTTTAAGCTTTTTGTGAAGGCTGGCTGATTTCAGTTAAGATACTTCTGTGCTTTGGGAAAAATAAGGTTTGAGTGACCTTAGCTGTGATTTCTAAGTCTTTGTTGCACTGGATTTTAGTGTTGGCCTCCTTTTAACTCTTATTGGGTTTCATGACTTCCTTGCTGGCTGTTCTGTGCGAACCGTTGAACAGTCTTGCAAACCTTTCAGGTTTAGGGCTCTAAGTAGCTCTTAAGCTATGTCTTTAACAGGCTTGAAATGAGCAGTTTGTTTGAATTTCACAGACCTGAATTGATCTATCAGAGCCCGTATTTTATCGGTATATTAAATGTGATTTGATGGGATTGAGGTGAACTGTGGCAAAATTTATAACAGCAGAAACAGACTTACGTTAAACACACTAGATAAGTTAGTGAGCTGACGAGATCTTCAAGTTTTTTAATTTATTTCCCAAGTTAAACTGGGAGTGATTCAGCTGACCAAGTAGTGTAGTTAGCATCTAAGTCCCAATGCTTTCTCTGTTTGGAACTCTGTATATTGATTTTGGAGTGGTTACATTGAACAGTGTTTTTCAATAGCTAGAGGGCAAAAAATAACCACAACTTTCTCTCTCTTTCCTTCTTAGTTCCCAGCACAGGTATTCTACACCTCATGCCTTCACATTCAACACATCAAATCCTTCCTCTGAGGGCTCCCTTTCCCAAAGACAACGATCTACATCCACACCAAATGTCCATATGGTTAGCACTACGATGCCTGTAGACAGCCGGATAATTGAGGTAATATTGGTAGGGAGGGAATAGCATAAAGTTAAACTAAAATTGTGACTGCCCATCTAATAGTTGGGTTTTCTTCTTTACTTTCTGTCATTTGCTTACTGTTTGCCTTAGTTGGCTGAGTGATGAAGAATACAGGTGACGCATTTGCATAGACAATTAATAGTTCATTCTTGCAGTCTTTATCAACTTTGCTGAAGTTCTAGGCAGATTTTTGGTGTCTGTAAAGATGAGGGGGAGCTTAGCAATCAAGTTTCACAGATCTGAAAAGAAAATAAGCTCAGTTTTGCTGAAGAAATGCTTACTAGGCATGTCTAAAAATGTTCTTTCAAACTTAAAAATCTGGATTTGTTGGGGCTGGTGTTTGTTTTAAATCAGACTACAGGTACTGTAAGTCTGGATGTAGTTCTCAGAGTTGGAATACTGAAATCTAAGCTTACTGCCAATATGTTTTGTGTTATACCTGTACGGAATTAACAGCGATTCTGGGCTTTTGTGCTAAAGCCATCTGTATCTGAGAATATTTCTGCTTTTACTTGTTTTCAAGCACCTTTTTTCTTTTTTTTTCTCCCCCCCGCCTTGCACTGCGGGGAGAGACAATTCTTTGAAGTCAAGCCTAAATTGGCTTGTTTGTTTTGTTTTGTGATAACCTTAACAAAATAAGGGAGTGGTGTGCAGGAAAGGCTTGCAGAAAGAAAGAGCTGAACTACAGGACTTCAGAGCAAGCACTGTTTGTTGGGTTTTTTTGCTCTGGAATAGTTTAAAAACTTTTTAGGCCAAGCAAAAGCCTTTGACTACCCAGTTTACTTGCATCTTGAGCTGGTAATTTATAGGATTCTATGAAATGTGAAGACTCTGTAATGGGCCAGAGACATCCTGTGGACCTTTGGTGGAACTGAAGAAAAGTGCACTGCAGCCCCATGAAGGTTTTTTAGTTAGAAGCTTTGTGTCAGCTGGGTTTTATGGGGAAGGGTACCCTTCCTTTCTCTTTGGTTTTCTTAGGCTTACAGCCTTTGCTGCTGCTTCAGAAGCCTGGTTGACCATCTTTTATGGCATGAAAAATAATGAAGCACTTAAGAAGGAGAATATGAATTATCAAACTTTGTAATGTGGTGAGCCTTTAAGAAGGCATTGCTTTCTTTATCCTTTATGCATAGCAGTAAAGGCAGAAATGCTTCCTATCCTGGCTCTTCATAATATTATAGGGACTGAATAAAAACAGCTGTCACATCTTAAAGGCGATAGCTGCTTTAAAAGTAAAAGTTTTTAAAAAAAGTATACCACAAAAAAAGGTAGTACAGACCTTCTAGTATGACATGAGGAAGACCACCTTAATAAAGTGGTTTACCACAGGATGAATACTAGTGAACTTTTGGATTTGAACAGGAATACTTACTTAAAAGTTTTACTGCACTTAATTATCATATATCAAACAAATGAGGTTACTTTTTCTTTCATTTATTCTAACATTTAATTTTTTTTTTTTTTTATACTTCCTCTGTTCTTTTCTTTTATCTCTTACTGTGTTGGCCTAGAATAACAGCCTGAATGCTTCTCCCAGTTCCTGGTGCAGACGATTTTGTTTGAGGGGAAGAGTAGGTATTTTCTTGGTGCCTTTTGTTTTCTTGTGATTAACAGGATTGCTATAACTTGTAAGCCATGGCAGTGTCCATATGAGATGTTTAATCTGGAGTTGATCTGATGAAAATTTTTATAGCATGCTTATACTTAAATATTGAGGACGCTAATTGGAAGAGGCAAATTGATAGAAGAGCTTAATTTTTAGTTTAGCTGGATGAATCCATACTGAATTTGAAGAGGCTTGGATTAGAGATGCATTTGGTCACACAGTTTTTAAAGCAAAACCTTCTCAAACACATCCATTGTGTGGCTTTTTTCCTCTGGAAACTATTTTGTTGAATTTAACTACAAAACCCACAGATGAAGAACGTGATGTGCTATTTTTATTTCACATCAAAGCAAAGGTGACAGACTACAGCACTGTATGGTATTATTTGTGTTGTAATAACAACTCTAAAGAACACTGATTTTGGTTAATTTGCTGTAGGATTCATAAGCAAAAAAGAAAATATTCACATCAGGATTGAAGTTCAACAATACTTTTTTTCTGAAAGTATGTATACATAAGTATGAGAATGATTTTAAATTATTTAGTTATCCTTTGCCAGCTTACTTGAAAGCAGTTATGTTCTCAGGCTGATGTATAAAAACCATCGCTTGTTATTAATTTAGGTTCTTAAAGATTTTTCTTGTCCTCAAAACAGATAGGAGTAGTAACTTGCAAGTTTTCTTCATTGGTAGTTTATGCAGATTTTAATCCGCTCAGGTGTAGAGTAGAGGTATGCTGCAGGAATACTGTATATAGAGTCAAGCCTGGGAGAATGCAATAACTAGCTAAAATGATGTATTTCATAAATGAATCTTTACTAAGGATAATCTGAATTAATTTGAGAACTGTATGGTGGAAAGTAGGCTTGTTCTGTCCTCCTGTGAAATCATACATTTATTATTCTACTAACTAGTTAGAAAGTCTGAATTGATTCCTATTAACTTTGACAGTGTTTAACATTTCTGTAGTGCATGTTCTTGCTTTGTACTTATACAGTACCTGGATATTTTACCTTTCCTGTATGTACTTTGGGATAATACATAGCAGGTGAGAAAAGTTGTAAAGTCATGTATGTCAGAGCTTAGTTGATCTTGTGCATGGCTGTAGAATTGTGTTGTAAAGTGCCTGTGGCATGAGGTGAGAGTTGTTGCACTGTACCAACTAGTGAACTGTGTAAGAACATGCTTTTCAAATATCATCAAACTTTAAGCTGTGGAAAAATGTTTGGCAAATTAGATGGTTTTGTATTAGGGTACTAGACGTAGCCTTTTTTGAGTTGAAATAGTATGGTAGAGATATTTCAAAGTGTATATTGACTTGGAATATTTTAGGGGCTTTTAAAAGTTTCTCTACTTGTAACCCAAAACCTTTTTGAACTTGTCCTCTAGACATACAGGGCTATCACAGGAGCTATGTTCAGATCTGAAATACAAGCATGTACAAAAAAACAGTGGTGGGAATGCAGACAGTATTTCTAGTGTTTCTTCTCGTTCTGTGTCTGTCTTCCCCCCCCCCTTTATTTTTGGTCATAATACCTTTTAAAATGTTGTGAATATTTTTAATGTTTTGTAAGAATTCACAAATTGCATGGGTTTTAGCATATAGGATTCTTGTAATTCTAGAAAATAACCAAGCTGTCATCTTTTGGAGGGTATTGGTCAATATTGTATCACAGTTGACCAAAACTGTCAGGAATGATTTCAACACTATTCCTGCTTCCTTTATATGTTCTCATATGTTTATTAACTCTATCTCCTCTGTTTTAGGATGCAATTCGAAGCCACAGTGAATCAGGTATGGTTTCCAAAAATAAAATAATAGAGAATATTATTTTGTATTTATTTTCTGGTTCATAATTTTTTTGTGTTTATATTTAAGCTTCTCCCTCTGCTCTGTCTGGAAGTCCTAACAATATGAGCCCCACTGGCTGGTCTCAGCCCAAAACCCCAGTCCCAGCCCAAAGAGAGAGAGCCCCTGGATCCAATACACAAGAAAAAAACAAAATTGTAAGTATGGTAATATTTGATTTTTAAATTAAAAAAAAAAAATTAAACTAGGCTGGGAGTAGTGGTGTGTTGGGATAAATTTCTGTACTTAAAAGGCAATACAAACTGCTGGCAATCTCTGATTGCTCTGCACTGTGTGTATGTAATAGCGATATAATTCTAACTTGCTTGGGAAAGATAGCAATATTGCCTTGTGTTATAAATACTCAGAACAAAGTGGTTTGGGTTGAAAATTAATTTCAGACAGTACTGTGAAATTATTTTTCAGTACAGTTTCAAGGATTACCTTTTTAAATCTTTAGAGGCTGCATCATCTTTTGTATTCTTTTTTAATATGTTTAAAGTTATCTGAACTGTATTGACGTAGCTTCCATAGAAAATGGATATTGATAATGCCATCATTTTCATAGTAAAGTTACTCAAAATGTCTCAGGGAGAAGCAGGTTTAACAAATTGCAAGTTTTTCCTCAAAGGCTTTATTTAAATTTGGCAGTGGGGAGAGAAGGAAAAGTTAGAATAATAATGAATGATATCTCGATTTTTTGGAAGGCTTGTAAGATTTAAAAATGAAAGTACAGTTGCTTAGTGGGACTCAACAGTTGTTAATTACTTCAACATTTAATAATTCTGCTCTCATCTTTTTGGTTTATTCCTTTTAAATATGTAAATGAGATCCTGAGTTTTAGTATTGTAATTTTGAAAATGTCAGTTTCTTAAGTATTTCAGATGTCTTTAAATAGTTGATTATAAAATATTTGTTCCTCTTAAGATCTAAGATGAGGGTTTAAGTTTCTAGTGCAGAACTTAAGGATAACTTCTTGAGCAGTTAAAGCCATCCAAGAAAATGTTCTGTGGGTTTGGGTTTTTGGTGGGGTTGGGTTTTTTTTTGTGTGTGTTTTGTTTTGGAGGGGGTTTGGGTGTTTTTTGTTGGGTATTGTTTTTTTGTTTTGTTTTGTTGTTTTTTTTTTTTTTTTTTTTTTTTTTAAAAAAAAAAAGCCCAAAACCACCACCCCTCACAAATTGAGGAGAAAAAAACAGAAGTCCAAAATGCAGGACAAAGCCCTCAAGGTTTCAGTACATCTCTAAACTTGTATGAAGGAAGTTACTTCACTTTTGGTGTGTATATATAATATATTTGATTAAATACTTACAGTGAAGCCATGTTATTTTTTGTTCCAGAGGCCTCGTGGACAGAGAGATTCCAGTTATTATTGGGAAATAGAAGCAAGTGAAGTCATGCTTTCTACCCGAATAGGGTCAGGTTCTTTTGGAACTGTTTACAAAGGCAAATGGCATGGTAAGTTCTTGACAAGGGTTACTGTCTTCTCAAAATGTTGATACTGTAGGACAGAAATCCAGAAAAAGGTAAAATTGTTTTAATGGTTCTGTGTGCTTGTAAAGATAGTAGGTGAGAAATATTAATTTCCTAATATTAGCAGTGGGGAAATGAAGGCAAAGAACAGACATCCAAATCTGAACCTCACAAGGGCCATCTTCATGTTCGCTGTATTGGAGCCAACATTGTTTTCTTTATTACCATGTTCTACAACAGCTTGTTTTCTGAAAAGATTTCACTTCCCACTAGTGGGATTGAAATAGCAAATTTAGCTGGGAATTGTCACAGCTGACATTTAAATTAATTTTACTTTGTTTTTAATACCTCTGTGGTTTAACTAGCGTAGTTAAATTCAAGGTAGCAGGGAAAGGAAATAAGGATAAATTGCTTTTACTGTGGAGTTTTTCTAAGGAAAAAATGGTTGATGTGAGAGTTTATGATATAAAGTTAGCTGGAATACTTTGAAAAGAGGCACATTGCAGAACTGCAGAACTAGGTTCCAAATTCAGGACTTGTGATTTAAAAAGAAACGCACATAAATCCCCTCTAGGCCCTAACTTAAACGGTGTTATTGACATAAAAAAAAAATTAAAATCATATTGTCATAAAATTAAAAAAAATCTGGAAACTTATCTTCCACCCTCTATTTTTAAAGCATAAATACTTACATGTCTTAAAGCCCAAATGTTGTCAATGTCAACTGAAGGACTATTCTTATGCTAAAAGTAATATTCATGAACAGTTCAACTGATTTTCTATATATAAATTGAAATGGAACACAGAAATCAAGAAGAAAGATAGGATAAGTAAGATTTCATTAAACAGGGCAATAAATGTTAATTTCTTGCTAATATACTTGAATTTCATGCTAGTAAATACTCTTAGTGTATCAAGAACTTTGGTTCTTCCTATGTTAAACAGGAAATACATTGAGCTACATATTTATGAAGAACCTTCAGTTGTGTGCACAAGATGGCTCTATATCTCTCCCCTAATTTGATAAGATGCAGTATCATATTTGTGATAACTGCTTATAGTTCTCCTGATTTCTCGGGAAAGTCAAAGTTAAATTACTAAATTTTTTTCTTTTTTTTTTGTAAGCACCATTTGTGGTTTGGTCTTAAAGGATTTAGCGTTTATATTTCTTGCAAGTCTTTCTGTTTAGAATTGAAGAAACTGGGAGTTCACAGTGCACAAGTTAGTGAAACTGCAGGCTTTTTGTAGTAACCTATTCTAATAGTACAAATGCAGCAATAAAAATGTCTTGGTGAAGCTAAATGAAATTACTTGAAGTGGGCAGACTGCTGCAAACTTAAGTAAAAATTCTATATTAAGTTAGAGGTGTTGGGTTTCCTAACATGCCCAACTATGAAGGACTTTTTGCAGTGAACCTTTGGAGAGCACCTGTGGAAGACTGTGTACAATTTATATGCAAACCATATTAGGTTTCCAGTAAGCTTCCCTGATTGAACCTTCCAAAATAAAAATGAAGTGTCAAGGACAGTCTTGCTCTAAGGAGTGTGTGTCTCGTTGAACAGGTATCTTGCACTTCCATATTTTTCCAGATTGTTCTGATGGTTAAGTACTAATTTTCATATTTGCACCACTTCTGTTACAGACCCCATTTGGATCCTGTAGTGTCCTGTAGCATGCTTCTAAATTTAAAAGGCGGAAAGAGAACCAAGGCAGTTTAAATGGGTTGGAAGACTACCTATCATAAACACTCACATTTCCCCTTTGACCCTGGTAATCAGTTCTAGGGTTTTGGTGGTTGGGGGGTGGCGGAAGCTGATTTGTCTTCAGATTGCTGCTAAACAAAACAAGTGCTATTGTGTATTTGTTTCCATAGAGAAAACTGCTTGGGAAATGCCATCAAGCCTAAAAAAAGTGTGGCACCTGTTTCAGTAAGAACAGTGTAAGGTTAAAAACATCTTTTCATCTGTGGAGCAAGGATCATAATGGAGAATATTTTGAAAAATAATCTGAAAACATTTGGCCTGTAATCAGTGGATGCTGCATCCTTGCCTTGTCTTGGCATAACTCATAGCAATATACTTCAAGTATTGGTAGAACATCCGTTGGTCTTGCATTGTATGTCAGCAGGAGTTGCAACAGGAACAGGCTGTTTCAAAGCCTGTGATTTTGGTAGTCGCATGAAAGTGTAGTCTTTCTACCAGTTACATTCTCCTGCTCTGGTCTGCAAGCAGAGATCTGTAAGTTACAGAACATTATGTATGCTGCAAATATGAGATGGTTCTCTTTGTGTAGATGCTAGAGGATGAAATAGGAAGTATATTGCATTTAGTGAAGTTAAAGGAAGACAATATAAACGTGTTCAATATTTGTGCGTCTTTGTGACTTCAAATTATACATAAACTAAGCAACTGGTAACTACAGTTGAAGATACTGCAGTTCACCCAGGGTCCTCTGAAACTTTCAATAGTACTAGTTTGCAGATCCTCCTCATACTTTGTTGGCAACATTTTGTTTTAATGAAGCTGTTAGTATTCCTGAAGTATTCTGTTGATCATTGTATTCTACAGACACGCTAACATATTTTTCAAATATATCTTGGAAAAGAGACCATATTAAGAAGAAAATAATAACTGATTGTGGTAGCAGAGAAATCTGTTGCTCTAGGAATTATTTTTTTTTTTTTTAAATCTGTCTGATTCTGTAATGCTAAGTGGCAGCAGCCTTTAAACTATGGGATAAGCCTGTGTTGGAGTATAGCAACTCCAAATCTTTTTACTGCATGTGGACTAATATTGAAGTTTCAGTTTTCCTAAGCTGCTTTTACTTTCCTGTGACAGTGTCAAGGCAAGTTTATCCCCCTCTTGAATTCTAAAATGCTGTCCATCTGTAGTTAAAATGAATGTGATGTTTACTTCTTTCACTGAGGAATCAATCGGTGGGTTTTGCTGTTAGTGATTTTACTTTTGCTAGACCAGTTGTCTACATTCCCTGTTGTATGTTTTTTGAATCAGTTCAACTCTGCTGTTTTCTGGATGTACACTGGTTTTATAACTTTATTCTCTGGAAACAGTCTCTAAACAGATCGCACTGGATCATCATATGTTCCTCTCTGTATTACCCTTTAACAGAGACTGAAATCTAAAGCAAGCACCGACAATGAAAACAATTCAAATGAAGCTTTTAAGTTAAATTTTATAATGTGTCAGCTTAAAGAACAGTAAGATATTCTGCTTTCTGTAGTCCCCAAATTTGTTATTGAAATACTAAAATCAGTTACATTGTTCATGATTTTTCTGCTATTCCTGGATAGAAAATCCTCCCATTCCTGAAATTTAGCAGTATTTAAATCTAGAAAGTTTATATTAAAAAAGGATGTGTGTGCGCATACATCCACACAGGTTATATATATATAAACTTCAACATATTAAATGTAATTATATAAATTATATAAAACCACAAAGGTGTGTATATATATATGCATGCTAAAGCTGCATGGAAAAGGGAAAGTGATGAAACTTTGGATACTGTTTGGAAGCTGAGGGACTCTGATATGACTGTGCTTGAAATGATGTGCTGAGAATGCACCTATACTAGAACACCTTCATTTTCAACAACTATTTAGTAGCTTCATACCCTGCAGAAAGCATACATGTAGTTCTAGCCAGCCATAGCTGTTAAAAAATAGAAGGGAAGCATGTGAACAGTTAATGACTTTTTCCATTAGACTGAAATTCAGGTAAATGAATTGCTTGATACTATGGAAGTTTATGCGTCTGCAGGAAAACCTTGACCTGTGTAAAAATTTGTAGAGGTGTACTGTGCAGAAATGAGGATTTTTTAAGTATATTGTATGTTAATGTTATTTTTTGGGAAGAAAAAAAAAAAGCTGTGTTTTTAGTAACTTTAACGGTAAATGTATTTTCAGGGGATGTAGCAGTGAAGATACTAAAGGTTGTAGATCCAACCCCAGAACAGTTCCAGGCTTTCAGAAATGAAGTGGCTGTATTAAGGTGAGTTGGTGGTTTCATTGCTGAATTCTGTTATTCCAAGGCACTGTGTTTGACTACTACCCCTCCTTTAAGCTGTCTTGCCCAATATTCTATATTTGATAGACACAAAAAACAGATCTCCAGACAAGAAGAATAAAAAGAGATCATATAGTGATATTTGTGAATATTGTTGTGGAGCTGTGAGACAGCAGTCATAATTTTGGAGTATTTCAGTCACATTTGGCATACCGTAAAATGTTCATAAATTCTGCCATAATTCTTGTCACCAGACAGAATATTTGAACTGTACCTTTTAAAATTGCAGCATAACTCCCTTTTTTTTTTTTTTTTAAAATGTATGCTCTCATCTATATAACTGTTCTCTGCTTTCAAAAATACTGTTCTGTAGTGTCCAATTAACTGTCTGTAATGTTAATCCTGGAACTGAACTAATTAGAATACGCAAGGACTATCTTCTCACCTGTTAATTCCTTCACAGTTTATAATGACCCTTTAGTTTCCTACTGGGATCCAATCTTCTAGCTAAAGTTGTCACTTTTTCACAGCTTTCAGCGTGACTTCTGTTATGGGAGTAACTTTTTCTAATACCACTTGCAAGCATGAATGTTGGTTGTTAATTTCAAAACCCATGAATTTTCATGACATCTTTTTCTTAAAGGTTGATTTTAAATAACTTCCTTGGAACTAAAATGAAGTATTTTAACTAAAAAGCAGAAAATCAGCTGATTTTATTGAAAAATTATAAATTGGCAACTGTGGCATAATTTTATTATTTTTAAAAACAAACTTTACACACACATCCAGTTGGCAAAAATTGTGCAGGAAACTTACGATTTCGGACTCAAAAGCTGAAATATGTTCCTTCAGCCAGGAATGCATTTTTAAAAGAACTCAAAAACATTTTTTTCATGAAGATACTAATTTCTCTCTCTGCTGCTTTCTATTAGGAAGACTCGGCATGTTAATATTTTGCTCTTTATGGGCTACATGACTAAAGATAATCTGGCCATCGTTACACAGTGGTGTGAAGGAAGCAGTCTGTATAAACACCTGCATGTTCAAGAGACCAAGTTCCAAATGTTCCAGCTCATTGATATTGCTCGTCAGACAGCACAGGGAATGGAGTGAGTAGGATGAACGATTTTGGCTATTTTTGTTCTTGGAACGGGCTTTCCCTTCTCTTCCCCAAACCCTAATATGTGAAGTTGTGCTAAAATAGTAACGGGTCAAAATGTTATGCCAAGTAAAGATTTTGTGCAGCCTGAATTCAGCGCTGTCGTATGCATTCTTACTTTCATTTAGTATTTTTTTTCCCCACAGATTCTTGCCTTAGTTCCTGTTAGACCACTAGTCACTTAACAGTCAGCTCTTCTGTATTTTATCTTTTTTTGTAGCTTGATGTCTTACTGTAATGCACTAGATGAGATCCTATTCTAAACACAGAATTAGCTTCTTTTTTTCTCCTTCCCTGTGTTACTATAACACTGCAGTGTTTGGCAAACACTCATTTACACTGGTGGTTCTCCTGTGAGTGAGGGGATAGCTGTTCCTGTTCTACAGCTACAGGACTCACGCATGCAGATGTATTTTTGAATCGTTCTCCTTCAGAACATGTTCTTGTATCGGTAGCATAAAAGATGCTGACATGGGCTGACGCTGTCAGTGCTCATCCATTTTGTAGATCGGGAATGAGGTTTCCAGCCAGACACCCAGAAAATTAGGGCATGTATTGTGACTGCAAATTAAAGCAGTTTGTAAAAAGTAAAACTTCGCATGGCATAGAGATCCCATGCATGTGAGGACAGCACCCAGTTTTCCAGGGCATTATAGTTACATAGCAATGATGCCATTCTTTCTCTTCCTGATACTTACTTATTGCATTGCTTCCACTTTTTGTAAGGCATAAGGCAGTAGCTGTCAGCTAGCGCGTGCTATGTTTCTCTTTTCCCAAAGTAGACGCATCTTGTAAATTGACTAAAGCAAGAGATCTGTGAAGTGATTGAGTATGCAATAACTCACAGTGTCTCTCAGTAAATTTGAAAGGCTAAGTTTATGTGAACAGCCTTCATAATGGCACTTTTCTGCTTTTTCTTTCACAGCTATTTACATGCAAAGAATATCATCCACAGAGACATGAAATCCAATAGTATCCTTTCCTAACTTAACCGTATTTCCTTTCACGTGAGAGTGACTTGTTGTTAATATGGAGCTTTTTGGGGGGTTGAAATAGCTGTTTCAAATGAATGTAACTACTACTGAGTAATTCCTGTTGATGAGTAAGTTAGGTTTTAGCAAGGACTTTCATAGAACAGATGTGCTTGCGTACCACACTGTTGTGATAAAGATGAAAAAAAGACATGCAACAGTTGTGCTCCAAAAGTGTCTTATTTTACATAAACAATGTTTATGTAATTCTCTGTTATCCAAATGATGTATTGGAGAGAAGCTGCACTCTACTTGACAGGAGAGGAGTGTGTGTGTGTGCATGCTGATATATGTGTGCACATGTGGGCTTTGTCACTGTTGGCCATATAGTTTTAATAAATTTAAAACACCTTCATATGACTGGCAAAAATCTTACTTATAAAGTCAAGAAAAGGCAATCTTTTACCACTATATTTCTTGAAAACATACAAGTTTAGTAATGCATATGGAGTAAAAATGTTGTGAACTGATGCCTTTCTCCTTTGAAAGTACTTGCTTTTGAAATTGCCAAGAAGAGCATCCATTGAGCTAGCAGCATAAATTAGAACTTGCTTTCATAAAATATGAACAGAATACTTTGCAAATGTCATCATAAAAAATAAGCCAAATTCAGTAGTTCCATAATGTAAGGGGATTCCCGTTTTCAGTTAAGCTAGAAAAATAATCATTTTAGTATGTAGGAGGTCAGGAGTTCGTGATTTCCAATAATGATGAACATTTTCGTGAAATAAATTAACTCTTCTCCTGACATGGAAATGAGAAATAGGAGTCTGTCATGTTTATATTTCTGAATCATCTTTTTGAACTTAAAACATTCTTAAATTAAATTGTAACATGATATCTTCTTAAAATAACCCCAACAAAGAAAGTGCTAGCTAACAATCTTAATCGACATATCTATTAAGTAGATAGATTAGAAATAGTATAGACTTATGTATTTCCAGTTGAAGTAGTAAAATCATAGTTAAATCTCAGGAGATCTGCCAGAGAGCTTTATGTAAATAGATTTTATTTTGATACTTGTTTCTACTTGTAATTGTTTTTTCTTAGTTTTCTTTTTTGAGTTGTGATGACTTCTGTGTTGTTTCCCTATGTGTCTCTTGACACCAGTTAAGTACCTGCAGTCATTGATGTTAACTAACTTGGCATAAATATAAACATACAAATAATGCTGATAAATCTGGTCTTGTTCAGTCTTAAATGTTAACTCTGTAAATATGGATGCCATAAAATTACTTTTCCTCTGTTTAAGATACAACCCTAGCAGGCTTTCATTTGTGATAACCTAACCAGGCACTTCGTAATCATGTCAGAAAATTCAGAATTGTTTACTCAAGTTTTCTACAGAATTTCTTTAACAAATGTTTAGATATATTTCTTCATGAAGGCCTCACAGTGAAAATAGGAGACTTTGGTCTGGCAACTGTAAAATCCAGATGGAGTGGATCTCAACAGGTGGAACAGCCCACTGGTTCAATCTTGTGGATGGTGAGCAAAAGATTTCACCACTTTTAAATAGCTGGCTTTCATTCTGTTAATATATGTTTTGTCAGTTAAAAACGATTTTAAAGCTTTATATCTAAATTCTGTTAGTACTGTGTAGACTTTTATTCCAGTTGTAGGACAAGTTAAAATTGACGAGTGAAGTGCTGGAGTGCTTAATTATCCAAAGTAGATGCTATTCACCCTAAGGATTCTCTTTCTGATTTTTTGAGTTATTTTAAATATTTAGGGCAGAGACAGGGCTGTCAGTGGAACTGCAAGGAGCTGTTCAGGGGAAGAGGAGAGCCTTTCTCCTGCCGTAATCCTGCTTATCGCCAAATGGGCTTGTCTCACTGGAGAGCAAACTTTAACCTGCTTAATGGTGGCTTTGTGGAATTGGTGAGACCCTGTCTTTCTCCACGCTTTTCATTGCGGCCTCTTCTTCCCAGGCTCCCTGCCTGGGACTTTGCAACATCCCTTTTCACACACACTTGCCAATGGCACGTTCAGCAGTTTTGGCAGGGGACTGGGGAGAGGATAGGGAGTGCTTCTTGAAGTATGGGAGTGAGCACAATTCATCTATGGCACCACGGTAAGATGCGTGATACATACCAAGATATTGTTGTTAGGCCCACTGCTGCTTGCTTACTCCTTACCCTGCACCAGGTAGTTGTGGTAGGTTTTGAGGCAGTTCAGAGTCTCAGTCTGAGGCAGATGAATGTCAGTTTAAGTTACAGAAGTTCTCAAGTTCTACTGGAAAGTTTATGGAGTTTCCTTTGGAAGTGGTACTTGCAAAGTCCTTGTCTGGGAGGACATTCCCAACAACTGCCTTTATGTTTTAACTTCTGCCAGAACTTAAAAGGCTGTTCTACAATTTTCCTTCCAAAAATCACCTGTGGAAAACCTATTTAGTAACTTTTCAAAAGTGCAACTTCAGTAGAGCAAATAGAAAAAGTGGAACAGTGCCTGTTACCAGGTTAAAAAGCATCATTAAAATTTTGCCAGAATGTCTTATTTAGCTCTCAAATAAAATATTTTGTTGGAAGTTTCACTTGACCCATTTTTGTTAATACTGTGCACTCTACTTAAATTCAGCATGTAGACTGAGCACCAGTATTTTCTAGCTCCCAGGGTGGGGCACACAGCAACATTTGTGGCTTGTACTTCAGGGAAGTGTAAGTGAATAAAAATTACTTGCTGAATGCTAAATATTATTACATTTTAAATATTTTGATATTTAGCTGATAATGAGCTAAAGGTGTTACCTGAAACAGGTTTTCCTTTTAAAAAATATTCTTTGTTACTAGGCTGGCAGCCTTCATTGTTACTTAAGTATTTGTATTTCGAGAAAAGCTGGGAAGCATTCAGTAAGAATATTGGGATGCTTGGCCAGCATTTGTTTGTGACATATAAAATACACCTGGAACAAAGTTACAAAACCAGAAACAGTTTTTCTTTAAAAAATACAAAAAGCCAAAGCTTTTTACAGCTTTCCATAAAAGGTTTTAAAACTAACTTATCTAATAATATCACATATAGTAATCATATATGCCTATATACATGAAACAGATCTTAGAAAAATAAACCTGCATTTTTGGTCTTTGCAGTTTTTTTCATTTTAATCATTTATAGACAATTTCTGCTGAGTTGTCATTACATAAAGGGGAGGTTTGATTCTGTTTCCTTGAAAGTTGATATAATCTCTTACTGAGTTCTTGTTGTACTGTTGTACTTTAGTACTTTGCTCAGTAATTCTGAGGGACTTCTTGGGGGGAGAATCTTCATTAACAGGAACAATATTTTGATGGTTTATGTCTTGTTTTATTAAATAATTCCACGTTGTTTCTTTTAAGTTCTTTAGCTTCATAATTTTGCTTTGCTTTGCAAAGATTCAAGAATGCTCTTGCATTTCTTCCCCCATCTGCAATATATGCTATTTCATATTTGGCTTTCACATTTCACATAAATGTTTTAGTATCAATTTTACAAGAGACTAAGTCTGCATTAGAATTTTATATTCTTCCCTTTTAACACTGATACCTGTTTAAGAACTGATGGTGAGAGATTCAGACTCAGTTGTATGTAAGGTGTAAGAAAAGTCAATATATTTTTCAAATTGGAATAACAATTTTTCTAATAGTAAAATGCTTGTTGAATTAAGGCGTTGCGTTTTTGTTTACTTGCAGCATACTGATTTTCTTAATGTTTTCCAGAACCTTAGCTAAAACTCATCAAAGGTTTTGAGCTATCCTTTGTTCACTCATATTTGGTTGAGCTTTCTCTGCTTTCTAAATGTTTTCCCCTTTTATTGTCCTCTCCGTCTCTAAGTTCTATTAATATTGCTCACAATTTGTTTCTTTTTTTCCTTCTTCTACAGGCACCAGAAGTGATACGGATGCAGGATAGTAACCCGTTTAGTTTTCAGTCAGATGTCTACTCCTATGGAATAGTATTATATGAACTAATGACAGGAGAGTTGCCGTACTCCCACATAAACAACCGAGATCAGGTACAAAACATTCTTTAGAATACTGCATTTTATTTCTGGGCATAGTACATTTTGTTGTCCTCAAGAAAGGTAAGATAAAGACAAAAGGAAAACATGAATTGAAATGTTGTTTACAATGTAATTTGTTTCAGCAGTAAATGTGTAATTGAATGTTTACTTAAATATTGACAGTGATGGTTACTTAAAGGAAAAAATAATTATAAACATTTTAAATGCCCTGTTAATTTATTCATGGGTTAAAACTTTTGCTACATCAGTAAAATCTTGGTTTATATATTTGCAGTTACGTGAAATTTCTCTTTTGATGTTAAATGTGCTGTTCTTGTATCAGCAAGGTTAGATTCTGTGCTTTTTACTAAGTGAAAAAAAAATAGTGGCTACTGAAAAACCTTTTAGTATTGAAGGTTAGTTTGTGTGATTTAGTCTTCATTAAGTTGTAATCTTACCAAGTCAGTTAACCAATAATTTTGAAGAAGCACATTAGGGACAGGAACCTCAACTGTTCTCTATACATGAATGCTTCTGGCTTAGCAAGTGTGGAGTTCATGCCATTCTGCAGGGCATGAACTTATGACTGTTAGATCTCTTTGATCTCTGTTCTGCTGATCCACAGTTGTGGTTTGTGTGTTTTGTTGGTTTTTTAAATGAAGATCTAGTAATAAGCAGTGTGTGTCTATGGAGACAAACTACTGGATTTTACAGAATCACAGAATCACAGAATCGTAAGGGTTGGAAGGGACCTCAGGAGATCATCTAGTCCAACCCCCCTGCTAAAGCAGGCTCACCTAGAGCATGCTACACAGGACTTCATCCAGGCGGGCTTTGAATATCTCCAGAGAAGGAGACTCCACAACCTCCCTGGGCAGCCTGTTCCAATGCTCTGCCACCCTCAGAGTGAAGAAGTTCTTCCTCATATTCAACTGAAACCTCTCGTGTTTCAGTTTCCATCCATTGCCCCTAGTCCTGTCGCTGGACACCACTGCAAACAGACTGCTTCCGTCCTCTTGACTTCCGCCCTTAAGATATTTGTATGCGTTGATGAGATCCCCTCTCAGTCTTCTCTTCTTCAGGCTGAACAAGCCCAACTCTCTCAGCCTTTCCTCGTAGGGGAGATGCTCCAGTCCCTTTATCATCCTAGTAGCTCTCCTCTGGACTCTTTCTAGGAGTTCCTCGTCTTTCTTGAACTGGGGAGCCCAGAACTGGACACAGTACTCCAGGTGGGGTCTCACCAGGGCAGAGTAGAGGGGGAGGAGAACCTCCCTCGACCTGCTGGCCACACTCCTCTTAATACACCCCAGGATACCATTGGCCTTCTTGGCAACAAGGGCACATTGCTGGCTCATGGTCAGCTTATTGCCCACCAGGACTCCCAGGTCCCTCTCAGCAGAGCTGCTATCTAGCAGGTCACCCCCCAGCCTGTAATGGTGCATGGGGTTCGACCTCCCCAGGTGCAGCACTCGACACTTGCTCTGGTTGAACTTCATCAAGTTCCTCCTTGCCCAGCTCTCCAGCCTGTCCAGGTCCCGCTGAATGGCAGCACAGCCTTCCGGCGTATCAGCC